TTTTTTTTTTTTTTTTTTTTTTAATTATTATTATTTATTCGGCTACTCTTCCTCCGCGTCAAGGTCGTCTGCACCCAAGACTGATGTGTACATACATAAACGATTAATTATTATTATTATTATTATTATTATTGTTGTAAATGATAAAATATTGATAAAAAAAAATATAATAATTATTATTATTATTAAAACGAACGAAAGAAGAAAATTTACGGAATCCGCGGGCAATACCTTTATATACTTATATATATATTATTATTATTATTATTATGAATAAAAAAAAAAAGAAAAAAAAAGAAGAAATTATTCTTTCGGATTCGTCTTCTTTTTTTATTATTTTTCGTATTTAGACGTTATTTACTATGCGTAGGTTTTTTTTTTTTTTTTTTTTTTTTTTTCTGTTGTCTATTTGAAGAGCGTCAGGGAGACACGCGCGCGCTGTACAGGTCGGTCGCATAATGGATCTCAGTAAATTTTAGACGACGTATAATATTTTTAAAATATGTTTTTTTGAAAAACTTACTGAAGCAAAAAAAAAATAAAAAAAAATCACCCAAGGAGAGCAAGTGTTATATTATATTTTATTACGCGCGTTTCTTTTGTGATTGTTACCATTTGTATAAATAGTGTATTAGTCAACGAGTCACGAAGGTAATTAACAAATTCCTAACCTAAAACTTAACTGTGTATATAAATATATAACTATATATATATATATTTATATATATATATATACATATACATAATATATAGAATATACGTACATTTTACTTTTAATATTACATTTGTATAGTTAAGTATTTTTTTTTTTTTTTTTAACCAATTGATTTGATAAAACAAAAAGAAAAAAAAAAGAAGAATAAACGTTAATTTTTTTAATTATTATTATTATTATTATTATTATTATTATTATACTATTATATAATTTGTAATTCGTTTAATGCTCAATTTGTATTAAATATAATTTCGTTGTTCCGCTTTTAAACAAATTATGTAATTTTATTATTATTATTATTATTATTATAATTTTTTTTTTTTTTTTTATCGTTGTGATGGTTCGGTACTTAAGGATGATAACAAATGTATTTTTTTTTTTTTTCGTTTTTGTTGAACTATTTTAATGTAATGAAATTAACGATTTGTACAAAATACCGCGCGATACTATATAATACGATCGAGAAAAAAGTGAGAAAAAATGTAAAAAAAAAAAAAAAAACCGTTAAAAAAAGTAATCCTTTGTAAGTGTTTAGTTTTTAAAAATTAAAAAAAAATAAAAAGCGAAGGTTATAATATGAATTATAACGCGACTATTAAGTTTTGTTGTACGACGCATTTTCCGACGGTCTTATATTTACTGAGTGTATAAAAATAAAATTATATATATGCATAAGTTGTAAAATATTATTATTATCATTATCATTATTATTATTATTATTATTATTTTTTTTTTTTTGAGGTTGATAAAAATATTCCAATAAAAAAAATGTATTTTAAAAAAAAAAAAAACAAACAAACCGCTCTTTTGATTTTTTTCCGCCCATACGATAGCACCGTTTCGATCGGCGAATATTGCAGCGGCCAGGTCGGGGGGTAGGGCGACCGCGCCGACAGTGGTTTTCCGGTGCACGGCCGTCAATGTATCGGATACGGGGAGTCCGCAGAACGAACGAGAAAAACGAAACGCGTAAAAAACGCGCTCGTACTGCGGCGCAAGCGAATCCGGAGCCGGGGCGCCGAAAACGACGCGGGGGACACGAGCTCGGAGGGGGGGGCAGGGGGAGGAGAAGGAGGAGGGGGTGCAGGTACAGGGGGGGGGGAGCGCGTCCCTACGCTCCCGACACTGCCGTATTTCGGTGTTATAATTGCTATGGCCGTTCTCGGACGCGCGGCGAAACGATAAGGTACGCGTGCGATACACACGTCGGGTACGTTTAGGCGTATTTCAGACGTTTAGACGTTTTACGTATCGTTTAGGCGACGAAAACAGCGGCCGATTACGAACGAAACGAAGAAAAACCGTCGTCGTTTCGCTCGGCGACTTACGTTAAAACAACCGTACGCAACATGGCAACGTTTTGGCCGTTAACGCGTGCGCGGTGCATTTTGCAATCCGATCCGTCTGAAATTCCGACACAACGTAAACACACGTTTTCATGTGTCGCATCACGCTAATATCGTTTTCCCGTTACCGCCGGAATACTTTTTCAGTATTACCGAATCGTATTTTTTTCTCCGGGAATATTCGATTGATGATGTTGTACCGATTTCCCGATGTTTTTTTTTTCCCGTTTAATCAGAAAACTCCCGATAAAACCGACAAATTTCCTCTCCGGTACGGTTTCAATTACAATTGTACATTAAAATCACCCATAACGGCGGCCGTACCCGTCTCCATTGCCCTGGAGAGTTTTTTTCGCACTATTTTTCAATTTTGTCGTTTTTGAACTGGAGGTGTTGGACTGGGCATTCCCACGAGCCGCCCGCCCCCTAGTTACGCCTACGGCCAAGGAGTGGTGATGTCACACGCGGGGAACGTTCTCCGAAACCGTTTTCCCGTCTTTTTACGTTATTAAATTATCACGCGACACAGCAAATATTATTGTGCCGTTTTAGAAAGCCATCACGGAAAATATTATTCGTGCCTTATTCCGACTTTGAAAAAGGGACAATTTTTTTTTTTTTATCCGTCGAATAACTCGTTTCACTGCTCCTAACGGATAAACGCGATGGAAACCGGAAAATTCTGGAACTATGCGTGCTATACGACGTTATTCTCGCCGCGACACTGCCGCGAATTCGGCTTTAAGCGTACCGACGGCAATGGCGATTTAGAAGAGACGTGTAATAAAACGCCTTCGACTCATAAAACTTCGGTAATTTTTACCGTTTTTACCAATCTATTATCCTTTTACTTAAATAATTCGCGTGCATAATTAAATGCGCACACAACGACACAACTCGCGATTTCACGAGCGCGAAACGCGGACATGAATAATTTAACTAAATAACGTATGACATTGATGGGCATGCATTTTATGTGGACAAAGTGAGTATGTATTTCAAGTTTTAAGTAGTCACAAAGTTGAACTCCTTAAAGCCAATACTCCTCTTAGAGGTGTTCCGGATTCCAGAAGCGCGTCCACGGTCGAAGTTCAGTATTTTAGGCCCTGTTCGCTGAACGCGCTATACTGATTTCGACGGGCCGACACGCTGCAGGGTGAGTAGGCCGCTGTGAGCGGTACCACAATGCAATTCGAAATGTACGTTAAAAACGATAAATCGCTGTTAACGAAAAACGACGCTGAGCGATGTTCCGTTTATCCGTTTCGAAGCGCCATGATTTTTACGATTCCCATCGGGCCTTGAAACGATTGTACAAACAAATGACATCGTACGGATTACGCGCATACGTTTTTCTTTTACCGCCGATTAAAAAAAATTACACACAATGGACCTCACCGTGTCGATTTTCCAAGCGTTTCTGTTCAGCAAAATCCATTGCATTCGAATAAAAATTAAAAAAAACTCGAAAATACCAAATGTCTATAAATGTGCATCAAAATCGCCAAAATGTTTCGAACGCCTTTGTCTCGTCTAAAACGAGCTAATGTAAGTGTTCGGTAAACATTTCAGTGCTCAACGAATGTTTTTTAAAAAGCAATTAAAAAAAGTATATGCTATCTGAAACCACTTAAAATGCCGATGATCGGAACAAGACTTTTGAATGGAAAAACTGTTCACAGAAGGAAAAAAAAAAAACAGAAATAACAGAAAAACAAATATGTACATTTCTCTCGTTTCGTTCGATATCTAAAATCTGTTTTTTTTTTTTTAGATATTTTCGGACATCCATATCCGTCCGCGGATTTCGAAATTTCAGATCTCCGTGCGCCACCGTTTTTTTATCGAATGATCTAAACATTTTCAGTTCGTTTGTCATATTTACCATCTACTAGAAATACTCGGTTTCGCCGCCGCCTACCAGACTTTGTTAATGACCGGAACAAGTCTCCCGGCCGAAATCGTGTTAAACCCGAAAAAAATATACTATACCTATGTTATGTATATAATTACAACGTTAAAGAACCCGTAAGAAAAAAAAAAAAAGAAGAAAAAGACACATGTGTGTTTCGATTGCAAAAAGTATGAATCTAGTCAATGCGAACCCGTTTTTCTGGAGCCGATGAAAACTTTTGATTTCCTTAAAAATAGTTTTGTTCCACTATATAATAAAATTGAATTGCATAATTTTAGTAAAATTTATTTGATTAAATCGAAAAGTTATTTCAGGTATAGGTTTCGGTTGTTTTATGCAGCACGCGAGACAATTATTTAGACTTTCGAGTACTTTATAAAGTTATAACATTATGATTAGCAAGAGGATTTTGACGTAAGCGTGCGCACGGGCGGTGCAGGGCGTGCGAGTGCACTGCCCGCGAACTCAAATCGATCGTGCAAAATAATCCGAACGTGTTAAATTTGTTTGATAAGCCCACACACGTACACTACCCCGACTATATGATTCAAAGTTTATACGCGAAGCCGGTCGTCACATTTGCAGGTTTGGCAATGTGTACAAGCCGGTGTGGTTAGCATTATCGATAACCGCCAATATAATAACAATCCATATTTTATAGTTGGTACAGTTAATAGTTAATAAACAAATTAAAAATATATCATATTCGACCAACGGTTTCTAAATCGAATGTTGTAGCGGGTAGTGAAAACTGCGTTTCTGTCATCACGTTATCGCAACAATACCGATTACAGCTTGTAAACATTGCCCAACCTACTGGCCACTTGTCTTCCAAAACCCGTACACGGTAGAATATAGAGTCGGGCACGCAGTTATACAGTTTCAGTGGCGTGCCCGGGAGGGCGTGTAGCAAATAAGGACCGCGAACCAAATGGCTAAGTCGTCTGCTCTTCCCAATTCGACGATGGGAATCTGTAATTTAAAAACCGAATCCGAGAACGGCCAATTTCCAATTAAATGTTACAAAGCTTGTTCTTCGTAATTTGGTTGAAACGCGTGCATTTTGATTACTTATATTTTGTTTGTATTTTTAAGCCGGATCGGACAGATGTAAACCACTAATTTCCCGCTCGCCGCCGATAGTGAATATCTGTTGATGGACCCTCTTTGTAAGGGAAGAGGGAGCAGTAGAGGAATGCACCACCTGCGAACAATGTCTGCGCACGCCTGTGGAAGTCGATGACTTTTGCATTTTTTTCCTATTTTATCCTATGCAACGATACTTGAGCTGAAAATTCGTTTCGTGCAATATCGATTTAAAATATACACGCTTTCCGGCGAATTTATATCCCTTGAATATCCCCGGAGATAATAAAGATAATACAATTTTGTTTTTTCGTGGGACAGCCTGTATTATTTTGTTGGTTTTTTTTGTAATTTATATAATTCTTATAAATTTAAAATTAATTTAGTTTATTACTTAATTTTCTGTTTAAAGAAAATGTTTACATTTTTAAAAATATTTGTTAATCATTTGTTATGGTTTAATAATGTACAGCGCACAGGTGCTCGCGTGTCCTACTGCAAAAAGCTTATCGTGCGATACTTTTACTAATGATGGTAAAGTTCTATTTTAATTTGTTTTTTATTTCGATAGTTTTTAGGTAATTAAAGCACGTTTTTATACTTTTTTTTTTTTTTTCTGGGAGGGCAGCGGCATCAACACGCTATCTCTGTGTATTCCGTCACTTTTCTCATAATGTTTCAATGCACTCGCCGTACAAATAATCATGTGCCTTTGTGCCGTACAATACAGCCATACTGATAAGCGGACCTGGCACGTTGTCACGTTTATCGCGATTAGATATTGATTTGTCACATTTCTCTGCGCGAACAATTTTTTCTAGAAGAGCAACCGTTATACGCAACTTAAATATTATCCGACCGAAAATCGACGTACGAACCGAAACAAAAACCGTTCGAATCCGACTCGCGTGCCATATAATTCTGACGAAAACCGCCGGAGCGTTTTGGGTGGCCGCCGAAAGGAAGTCCGTCCGGCACAGACTCGCTCGGAAGTCACAGACAGCGGGTGCGTGCGAACGATCGAACGTTTATATTTATATTATTTCTTGTTTATGTTTTATCGATGTGCGGGATCGCGTGTTTTTTCACTGTATTTTTTATTTTCACGAGACGCGGCAGCGGCGACGTCCCGCAGGGTTTTCGACTTGGAGATCCGCTCTGCACGGCGGGATTTTCGTCGGGCCCGAGCAGTCGGTCGGTTTTTTTTTTTTATTCCGTCCGTATGGGAGATTTTTTTTTAGGAGGTGGAGGGGAGGAGTATGAGGGTTTTCTAGAAAAAAAAAACCGTTATACGGCCGCCGGCTTCCGTCACTGCCGCAGGTAAATAATAAATACACCGCTTGACTTTCAATATAATCAGTTTCAGATAAAACGGGCGTACCGCCGCACCG